TATTTCATTTACTTATATTTTTTGAGACAGAATCTTGTTCTGTCACCCGGGCCAGAGTGCAGTGGTGCAATCTCGGCTCACTGCAACCTCTGCCCTCCAGGGAACACACATTATACCCTGCGAATGGTGCCCCCTGGAGTTGTGCAGTAATCAGCCTGTATGGCCTTACCCAAAGGCCTTGTCCTTGAAAATCCCTTCACAATTACGTTGTGCACATGTACCCTAGAACTTAAAGTATAATAGTAATAATAATAATAATAAACCCTTCATAAAATACAACATACTTAAGCTCAGAGGTAGACAGCCCTGAATGTAGATAAAATATATATATAGCCAGTAATACATAGGCTATATAATATAGAATGCATATATAGGATATAATGTTAGAATTTTACTTTTCCATCTTTCCCCCTTTTAAGGCATATAGCAATTTTGCTTAAGTTAACGGAGCACATAATATCCTTCCATTATATCTCTGCTTTCAAAGATATAAGAGGGTCCTGCTGGCCTTCTGTACAGCATCAACTGACATTACACTGATAAAACACATTCTCATATTTTGCTTCATAGCAATCAGCCATAATGATAGAGATGCTGCAAGTTCCCCCCCTCAAAAAAAAAATCAATGAACAAAATACAGCTATTTATACACATATATCATTTTGAAGAGAAAGAAACCATGCTGATTTCTCATTTTCCTTCTTCATACATTCACCCCCAGCTCCTTTAAGGTATTCTGGTGAAGTTAAAATATTCCTGTAAAGGGGCATGAAAAGAAGACCAGGGAAAGGACCATCTCTTCTGCAAGCACTGTGCGGTCCAAGTTTGAATTTTGGCGACCCTACAAAATCCCTCTTGAGAACAGCATCCTTTTCAAAACTGTATGCCAAAGCCTCCTTGTCATCCCTTCCCCAGGTCCACTGAGGGCAACATGGTCTGACCTTTACCTGTAAAGCTGCTGTTCATTTCAGGAATGTCATCCTCCTCCTCATTCTCCGCATGGACTATGCCAGCATTTTGCATATCATTGTAGGACTTGGTTCGCTTCGGGGTCGACTGCTTAGAGCCAGACTGAAGGCTTTGCAAGGCATCCGTCGTGATCACTTTCCCACTGACTGGCTGGCTAGGAGGCTTGGGTGTCCCATAATAGTTTCCTAGGTGATGGAGAGACACATTTGCATGTTTCAAAAGGAATACTTTGTTTTTTTTTTTAAGATTTCACATCCAAATCTCTAGTCACATTAAAAAAAATTAAACTAGAAAACCAGAACAAACTGTATTTTATTTCTGGAGTGGGTTAGAAAAGATGTCTTTCCTATCCAGCTAGACACAGTGATTTCAGATGGGAAGAGGAAAGCTGTATTGTTTTAGTGCAAAGAACCTACTAGAGCTAAAAACAAAGGAGGCTATGCTGAATAGTAAACCTTCCTCCTCATTACATTTGAATATCAATTGGTCAATCTTTTTACATATATGCACCAGCATAATGCTGAATCCAATTTAGAGCAAGACTCACAGAAGATAAAAAATTCATTACTGCCGGCATCCTTACAGGCCTAAAAAGTTGAGGTCACCTTCCGTTAATAAGGGGACTCGTCAAGAGGGAACCAGGGCAATATTTAAAAGGGAAGACAGTAAACCCCACGTGGCGCCTCTTTAGCTGAATGGCAGGCTTGACTCTCAGAGTCGTGAGGGGTAGGAACAAACCCTTGCCAAGTTTTAACAGAAAACCCTGTGTCAATGGTGGCACCCAGTATGGGTCACTCTTCCAGTAGTGGCCCATCTTCACTTTCAGCCACTCTTTCCCAGTTTGATTTAGGTCCCTCTATAGTGTGCTATGTGATTCTCACTTGTACATAAATAGATTTTTACATTTTAATTTTTTTATTTTAATAGATAACATATATTTTTAATTTGCCATAGAGAAATCTCACTGGTAAGTTATGATAGCAATACAAAGTTTGCCTTTAGAATTTAAGAAAAAAAGCAATACTTTAAAAAATTGACTTATTTTTCACTTGAAGTTTAAAAAGACAGTTTTATATAATAAGAAATTAATCAGCTGAATACATAACAGTGATGGTAGTAATAAGAGTTTCCTTTTGAAAAGTTAAAAAGTAAGCTATTTTTTAAAAGTTATTTTAAAGATAACATTAAATAAATAATACGTGTTCTCCATATGAACAAAATCATAAAGGGTGGTTCATCAAGATCAAAGTTTGAAAAACACAGTTGATAACAATAATATTCAGTGGCTACATGATAAAAGACATCAACCTTAGAATGTCATCACTCCATTTACCACTTCGCATCTTTCAGAACAAGGTCAGGAAGATAGGAAATGATTTTGAGATACTGAATCAATCCTAACTAATGTTTGTAATTCTATGCTTAGTAAAGCAGAATTTGTAAATAATAATAAATCCTATACACACTCTTTCTTCCCAAGGATCCAACCCCATTGTCTAACCTCAGTACATAGCTACATAAGAAACACATTTTATTACACAAGCACCAAAAGAAAAAAAAAAAAAAAAACGCAAAAGGAGACAGTAATAGCCTGGTCTTCATGAGATATAGAGATAAAGAATTCATTTCTCAGCAGGGTACAGCAGATCATGCTTGTAATCCCAGCACACTGGGAGGCTGAGGCAGGCTAACCACCTGAGTTCAGGGGTTCAAGACCAGCCTGGGCAATATGGTAAAATCCCATCTCTAAAAAATATACAAAAATTAGCTGGGCTTGGTGGTACTCTCCCGTAGTCCCAGGTACTTTG